CGAATCACCACATATAAACAAAGGGGTTATAGAAAATAAACAACACTGTGTCGAACCGCCAACCTATAAGAAGCTAGGTAGCTACTGCTGTCACACTTACCAGCTGGTCTACAACACAACATTTGTATAGGTATAGCTTAAGAAGTTTTACAATCCTAGAAGAGGCCATGGCCCCCCTGCCCACAAGCTGGCTTCGTCCATGTTCTCTCGACTTGTATATCGTACCCGCTATTGGCAGGAACCCTAATATTGTTTACTAGATTAGGGCCTACCATTGGCCGGATGAATTTTGTTAATAATATAAATAATCCGAGTAATTGTTCGAATCAAGACATATTTTATTTCATATTATAAAATTTCAATACTGGAAATACCATACTCATATAATTTTCAGCGTGCTAACTCGATTTATTGACTGAAGTCCTTACTCAAAGTAAAAAAAAAAAGTCCTGCAAGGAAATTGACTCCTAAGAAATTAATAAGACGGTCACACTATTTGCTACTCAATGTCAATAATTATTGAAAAATTCAATTTCAATTTTTTTTATCGCTCTGCCTCCGCCTTCTAAAGCACCATCATCCTCTCCAATTATCAATGCCTTTGTCTTTCTTAAAGTAACTTTTTTCTTCGCAATAGGTTGTTCCTACTTGTTTTTTCATTGGAAGCCAATCTTTAATGGTAAAATGTTCGAAAACACTAGACATAACACACATTAAAAGTTTACGCCCATTTACTCCTAAATTTAGAAAAAAAATGGAATTGTGAAGTTGGAATCTTGGGTCGAGATAGGTGATATTGTAGTAGGTAAATTAACGCCTCATTCATGAGATTTAATGAATAATCAGTAGGTGTTGCCTATTCTCCAGTAAATCCTTTATTTTTTTCCTTCTATATGTACATATTTGGTTGTCCAATTTGTAAAAATGGCTTACAAAAGTTTAGTGATTGACAATGAGAAAAATTAAACTTGTCACGAATGCCATCTTCTATTTAGGTTTATTTTTAATTTATAAATCATGAAACTAGATTAGGGCCCGCCCGTTGGACGGGTACATTCTATCAACTACATAAAAAACAATAGCAAATGTTCAAACCAAATATGCATTTTTTATTTGACATGATAAAAGAATCTAAATCATTCAGTTAGTGACAATATAGAAAAATAAACATATATATCGATTTTTTCGACGTCCTAATCGATTCATATACATAAGAACGAAATTAAAAACTAAACTAAACACAAAGGATCATGTAGAGGTTTTGTCTAGAACTCATACCTGATGTTGTCGTACAATTCCCACAAAATTACTCGTTGAAGTCTTCTTCACCTTTTCATGGACAGTGTTCGCACTAAACATAACCCTACTCGTTCCTCACTTTGAAAAGGATTAGCATTTTATTGTTAATGAGTCAGTAAATTGCAACTGATATATACTTCCTCCCTATTCCTCGCTCCAATGCACTAAGCTCTTGGAATATTTTGGTATTGATTGGTGGTTGGGTTTCAGCTTTGACTCTCATTAGAGGATGTGGTGCATATGCACCACTTTTATTACCGATTTGTGTTATTGTAATACCATTTTATTTTTTTAAAACTCCTGACTTATAACACACAACAAAATACATAGATTCAAATTACATGAATTTTACCTTGACCCGAAGTCTATAATTCCGAAATTTGTAGATTGAACAACGGCAGAGGAGCTACAAATGAGAAGGGCTTTCATTTGCGAATTTGGTTATCCATTATTTACTAAAAATTTAGCTAATAGATGCACTAACAAAATAATAATAGACATTTTTTTACCATTATATAACATATAAATATTATGATCAGAGGATCATCAACAGATTGACATTTATTGTCCTACCCATGGAATAACCTTCATAATCAATCACTTGTACCCAAATTGTACATTATGCCTAGAATCATAGTTAAATAATGCATGTAATTTTAAAATGCAAGTTTAGTGAATCATATTCTCGAAAAGCTTTAGGTGGATCTCTTTACGCTTTCGACTTATATAAAAATCATGTTTTGTCTTGCTAATTTTGTCAATGGTTGATCAATTCTCTTCAACTTTATGTGAATTAACTTATGACAAATACTCAGTCTTCACCTTCATATCATTGAAATGTTACTTAAGTGTAAAACTAATTAAGATGTTTGCAAATATGAAATTAATTGGTGTAGCTACTAACCCTAAGTTTAAAATCCAACACGTTTAGTTTTAAACTAAAGGTTATAAAGTTTGATTTAAAGGTTATAAAAAATTTCTACATTGAATCGCCCAGTTAGCAAAATAATGATTCAATAAGTCTTTAAACTTTGAACACAAGTACAAATATTTATCGGTCTCTATTACATACACTTTGCAGTTTAGTGTGCATTCATACAGAGTGTGGTCCAGGAAAGTGGAAGTTGTTTTTGTAGTACCAGAATTCATGTTCGACTCTCACTAATCTATACCTAAAGTGGGAAATAATCTTTCTTATAGTATGAACATGAATAATAACTCTGATAAGTTTATAACCACTATAATTATTTTGATTATTTGAAATTACAAAATTACTGTTTGTCATCGAGTGGTAATTTGCTACCTAAACGAAGAATATAAAGCCAATTTAGTATTATGGTTTAGTCAAAGAGTTAATTTGCTACCTAAACCCAATAATAAGTTTCTCAATTGTTGGACCATAGTAATTATATATAGTGGTTTTCCGGATTGATTTGAGCCCAAAATTAAAGTTATTATTAGTCTTAACTAAAATGTCCAGAAAATCCTTTCCTTGCTTCACGCAGAGAGCAGGAAAAAGTGATTTATGTTGGTTCTTAAGAGGAACCTCCATAATATTGATTTGAGGATAAGTGAGAAGTAGCATGATCATTCTAAATTGACTTAAGAAGATTGAGAATACTATTATAGATCATTAGACTAACAGGTTTTTATTCCAAAATATGTCAAAATGATAGGGTGTGCCTACGGTGACATGCATGTCACGGTGACTTGCACTTTCCGGTCGACCTTAGTTAGGATTAGGTCGACCTCATTTAGAATTCGGTCGACCTCATATAGGATCTGGTTGACCTCATTTAGGATTCGGTCGACCTCATATAGGATCAGGTCGACCTAATCCGTTGTTTCAGTGTAAAAACAGTTCATGGTGCCTACTTTGGATATTCATATCATACAATTGGCTAGATGGAAATTGAAGACTAATGACTTATTTTGAAGCTGGAGTGTCCCTCTACATATTGAAGTGACTGAGAGCTCGATAGGAAGTTCAGAAGACCATTTTTGAACCTCATCAAAAGGCTATGCCAAAACTGGGAAACTGCCTAGAAATGGCTAAGTCTGGAAACGTGTTTGTGAAGCCTATTTTGGAGCTCAATTCGAGACGCATGAATGCGAGTCGAGTCCAGGAGCTTCTACCACATTAAATATGTATGTTTTTATACAAATTCAATGCATTGGATGAAAGATTGGATATCTGTAAGGCTTCAAACAAAAGGGTCAAAGTTGCTATGAAGGCTGTTTTTCTGGCAGACTTCGAGCACAAGCAAGTTGCCAGAAAAACAGCCTTCGTAGCAACTTCGAGCCTTTTGTTTGAAGCCTTAAAGATATTCAATCTTTCATCCAATGCCTTGCCTTTGTATGAAAAAATACGTAATTTAACGTGGTAAAGGCCCCTGGACTTGACTCGCATCCATGCTTCTCAAATTGAGCTCCAAAGTAGGCTTGACAAACACGTTTGCCAGACTTAGCCATTTTCAGGCAGTTTCCCAGTTTTGGCATAGCCTTTTGGTCAGGTTCAAAAATGGTCTTCTGGACTTTCTATTGAGCTCCCAAGTACTGTAATGTGTAGAGGGACACTTCAGCTTCAAAACAAGCCTTTAATCACCAATTTTCATCTAGCCAATTGTAAGATATGAATCTCCAAAGTAGGTACCATGAAACTGTTTTTACACTGAAACAACAGATTAGGTCGACCTGATCCTATATGAGGTCGACCGAAAAGTGCATGTCACCGTGACATGCATGTCACCGTAGCAAAGTCCTTTTAAATAATATATTTAATTTAATTTTTAGTTAAATTATTGTAATTTAAATTAAAAAAATGAAATATCATTAATTAAAAACTAATAATGGATAATTTATGCACCTTGAGTTATATACCTAATCTGTTAATAAACTAACAATAATATAAATCACATTTTCTTACGGAAATATCATTGATTTTATTCTTACGGAAATATATAATCCTAAGTGGATAATATATGAATATGAAAGTTGATTTTATTCATTATCCCAAGTTATGTACGAAAAAAATGAGGAATCTTTTCTTACGGAAGAATTGGAATGGATAGAAAAAATAGGAAACTTGGGTCTTTTAGATTCATTAAAAATCATTAAAATTATTTAATAATAATGTGCTCGGTGCTTTTTAATAATTTAAGTGACAAAAATATTCCTCGTAAAATTACTCAGATCGCTGGAAATTTTGAATGGAGTGTGCTCTGATAGAGAACCTCCATATATAAGTGGTAGGATAGGAGAGTAGGATATATATGATGTTATCCCTAGCTCCTTCTAATAAACCCTTCTCAAAGTAACGAGACTAAAGCCTGTTTTAAAATGATCTCACATCTGGAGCCCTGAATTTCACAACACAACTCGACCCAATCAATTACTTGGGTTTTAGTCATTGATACTAGTTTGATTTGGTTCAATTGCATAAGCAACCATAAATTTATTGCTGATCAAACCTAAACTCAAAATTCGGGTGTTACATCACTTCTTAAAAAAAAACTCACACACGTTTGATGAAACACCAACCCACAACGGCACCAGGTGGGTCATGCCTATTAGACCTTTTTCTCTTCACTTTTATGGAGAAAAAAAATCCTTCATGGTATTGCATCGATCCTCATACAACTTCCCCTCTTTACAAAATACAATTTCCCATCTGCACTAGTGTCTTCATTTTCTCATTCCCCATGGCAAGTGATCAATCTACTCCACCATTGAGAGAGTTGAGAGACGAAAATTGTCCCGGTTGCCGGATAGAAAGAATCAAAGCATCGAAAACGGGTTGGCCTCTTCGAGAAATCGTTATCATATGGAGCCTCGTCTTGTGCACAAGTAAGCTAGCTAGCCACTTTCATCTTTGTAGTTAGAATTTAAAAATAATATTGCTCTTACTAAGAATTGTTGTTTGTATGTTTGCAGCGCTGCCGATATCTTCTCTTTTTCCCTACCTGTACTTCATGGTAAGCATATGCTGAATATAATTCTTCATTATATTGTATAGCATGTAGGCAGTATATTGAATACAGATTGCTAACGAATTACCTTTATTTATTTATTATTTTTTTTTTTTTTTGAATTATAGGTTAAGGACTTCAATGTGGCGCAACATGAAGAAGATATAGGTTACTATGCTGGATACATTGGTAAGAATTTTGTTTATGATAACTTTATGTGCTTGCTTCTAACCTTTGTACTTGAGTTCCCTACCCGATCTTAAAACTCACTAGATACGTTGATATTTTTTGAAGGTTCCTCTTTCATGCTGGCCAGATCAGTGACGTCTGTGATCTGGGGTCTCATTGCCGATCGCTACGGCCGGAAACGTGTGCTACTGTTGGGGACCTCGGCAATGTAAGTTGTTATGACCATACGAGCTTGCTTAATTGTTTATACTTGATGATCATTCAACTGATGTACTGAAGTGATGAAAGTGATCGAGTTAATAATAATAATGTTGTTATTTGGCTGCAGGGTTGTAGCCAACATTCTGTTTGGGCTTAGTGTGAACTTCTGGATGGCGGTGTCCATGAGGGCTCTTCTTGGCTGTCTGAATGGTTTAATTGGAACGACAAAGGTAATTACTTAGTCACCTCTTTACATATATAGTCACGAATACGAGACTACGAGTTACTACATATTAAATCGACCGACAATTTACTGGTGTTGTGAACAGGCATATGCAAGTGAAATTTTCAGAGAGGATCAACAAGCCCTGGCTTTGTCCACAGTGAGCTGATTTTATATTTGAAATTTAGTCGTGCAAATCTATCTGCAGCACAAATAAATCTAACCAATACGATTCAACGTAACTTGCAGGTTAGCACAGCATGGGGTATTGGATTGGTCATTGGCCCTGCTCTCGGAGGTTTCCTGGCTCAGGTATATACAGTGGCGAGACGAGAGGCAGGAAATTTTTTCAAGGGTGTGCTCTTTCAAAATTAAATTAAAAATTAATTAATTTTTAAATAAAAATATATACATTGGTAAAAGTTATAACAAAAGTCCACGACGTGTTTTCATATTATGAAAAGGTTGTAAGATACACTCGGTGTCTACACAGCTCAACAAATCTCTCTAGCATACTATACAATCATTCACGAACTTGTCGCCTATTCGATGATGAAACTTATTATTCTTTATGTAATCCAAAGTTGAAAAAGCCTATTTCAGTACTTGTAGTTGTAACCGGTAAAATTCATAACTTTGAGAAGTAAGTAAACCCATGGATATGATAGAATAGTGGGAAGAAGGGTAGCCCGTAACTGGGTTTTAGTTGTTAGGTTTTGAAAATAATTGAGGAAAGGAATAGCATTTTAACTATTAGACGCGTGTTTAAAATACAATAATGAATTAGTTGTAGACTAATGGAACACATGTTTACCAATAATAATAGTAGTGTCGTACATTCAAATCACCTAGTTACCACTTATATATTTTCCTACCCATATTATTGTCGAAATTCCAAATTTTAGAGGTGTTTCGAAATACCCTAAAATCCCTGGTTCCACCCCTGATTATATTATATAGATCCAGTCCAGTACTGTATAGACTGAGTTTTTTTGGTGAAAGCATAAGTAACATTCTCCTTGTACACTAATTTCCTACAGCCAGCAGAAAAGTACCCAAATCTGTTCCCCCAGGACTCTCTGTTTGGGAGGTATGTCAACGTCTCGTTACCCATTACATTTTCGCTTTCCTTGTGCAAATTTGGACATTATTGTGTAACCCTCCTGCTCGCTGAATGCAGATTCCCCTACTTGTTACCCTCCCTTGCTATATCAATCATCACTCTCGCAGTAACCATTGCGTCGTTGTGGATTCCGGTAAAGATTTGTATCGATCACAACCTCGATCCATTAGTGTTTCTAGTTCGATCAGCATCACCAGATCGCAGCAACCAGTTTCAATATATATGTACATGTTAAAGAACACATGATGAACAATTAATGATTTTGTTTGGCAGGAAACATTGCACTTCCACAATGAAGAAATGACTTCAAGAGATGACCCTTGTGATGCTCCGGAAACTGCTGATGCATCTGGTGGTGATGGTGATGGAAACAGAGCAGCTGCAGAGCAAAGCCTCTTAAGGAATTGGCCTCTGATGTCAGCTATCATTGTTTACTGCGTCTTCTCACTCCATGACATGGCCTACTCGGAGGTATACATACATATTATGATCTTGCCTAGTGAGAGAGACAGTTATTGGTTAGGGGAAACAACAAAAGTAAGATGTAACACAAGTTTATGATTCTAACTTGATCTTGTGCGTGCAGATATTCTCATTGTGGGCTGTGAGCCCCCGAAAGTTGGGTGGTCTCGGGTACTCAACGACAGATGTGGGGGGAGTTCTCTCTGTCTCGGGTACATAACTCACATATCCTACGATGAGACTTTGCATGACACTAGCTAGTTAAATGATGACACAGAGCAAATTAAGATTAACTTAACATCACCCAACAAATTTTGAAATTGCGTAGGTCTAGGCCTTCTTCTTCTCCAACTTTCTCTATATCCATACATGGAGAAGCGTCTTGGACCTATCATTGTGTCCCGTCTTGCTGGGGTAAATGTCCATATCTCTATAACGATTCTTCTTCCCTTTTTTCCCCTCCTTTTTCTAGTTTCACCCACTGCGGAACTTTCTATGTTGAGTCTTTCGGTTGATTATATATATCTCTCTCACAGGCTTTGACAATCCCGTTGTTGGCAAGTTACCCTTTCTTGTCAAAGTTCGAGGGTTTTACTCTCAATCTGTTGTTGAATTGTGCATCTCTGTTGAAGAATATTCTAGCGGTAAGTTAATGCAAATAGAGCATTATAGTCGTTGTTTGGTATAAAATTAGCACAACAAATCTTATTCTTTAACACTTGGCTATTTCTTTTTCTCCATCCATCACTAGGTGTCCATTTCAACGGGCTTGTCGATTCTCCAAAACAAGGCGGTGGTAAGCTTTTTTTTGCTTCCTACTCCATGCTTGTTGAACCAAGTTATAGCTTCTCACTCCATGGTTATTGTACATAACAGGACCAACACCAGAGAGGAGCGGCTAATGGCATTGCTATGACAGCGATGTCACTTTTCAGAGCTATTGGTCCTGCTGGAGGGGGTGCTTTGTAAGTCGCCCTGACTTCTATTATTGTTATCATGCACATACATATTAGTGTTCATTTTCTTAATGTCATTACATTTATTTGTGCAGACTCTCTTGGGCAGAATCACGTCAGGATGCTGCTTTCCTACCAGGTACCAATTTTAGAGCCAAAATTACCTTACTATTATTATTATTATTGATAACATGTGACAAACTGAAGGACTCACATTCAGATGGATATTGTTGATACAGGGACCCAGTTGGTTTTCTTCACCCTGATTCTAGTGGAAGCCGTTGGAGTATTACTAACATTCAAGCCATTCTTAGCCCAACGCCAAAAGAAGGAGTAGCCAAGAAGAAACCAACTGATCCATATTATGGTAAATTGTAGCGAGAAATAACCAACGCGGCCTACATGTAGCCTTGTTAGTGATGATGTGTATTTTTTTTACAATGAGATGTTGGAAGGAATTTGATATAAGTGAAATAAACAAAATGGAACGCGAATACTTATAATTAGGGTAAATGACACATTTGGTCATTGAGATTATTAAATTGTGTCATGTTTAGTCACTAGAAAAAATTAATATCAATTTTGGTCACTCGAATTACCGAAACTGGTCAAATTTAGTCACTCTCCCGTCAGTTTCCGTCCAACTCCATTAATGTAGTTGGACGGAAACTTTTGGGAGAGTGACTAAATGTGACATGTTTCAGTAATCCGAGTGACTAAATGTGACATTTTTCAATAATTCGAGTGACCGGAGTTGGACAGAGGCTACAGAAGAGTGACCAAATGTGACCTATTTCAGTAATTCGAGTGACCAAAATTGATATTAAATTTTTCTAGTGACTAAATATGACCCGATTTAGTAATCTCAGTGACCAAATGTGTCATTTACCCTTATAAAATTAGTAATGATGTGTGGTTTGCAATGCTTTATATCTCATCGGTCAGGCATCGATCAAAACAAATTCATTTTGTTTTTTCCGCTTTATTTTAGTCAACTAAATGAATATAAAAATTGGTATTTTGTGAAAAATGTGAATATTTTAAGTCAAAATATGTTTATTGCGCAGTGACATGGTGGGTTTTTCGCTAGTCAACAATGTTGACTGTCCAACATATATACCGATTAACTTTTGGAGGCCAATTAAGTAAACTTTAAGGTTTGTTCAGCCCATAATGTTAAATAGTGAAAAGATTGCCCAGGATGTTAAAGATGAGAAAAGTTCGGACAAGACAAAAATATTAACCTTTTTAAGTGGGTTTATGTTGACAAGGCGGTGACATGACGGGTTGACCGTTAGTCAATGGTGTTGACAGTTAATTTGAATGGTTAAAACTCGGTTTAGACCAAATCAATAATTTACTATAATAATTCGAGTCATAATAGGCATTTCTGAAAAGAATGATCAGAATAATAATTTTGGAAAAGATGGGACCAAACAAATCTAATAACCTTTTAGATTACAATCACATACGATTTTTAGAAGATTTTTTGCTTTTTATAAGAATTCTCATGATTTTTCCTACTCTGCATATAAAACATTTGTACCAACTTATTTGAGTTACTATTAAATATTAATGCATCTAATGAAGCAGGTGAATGTTAATTCCTTTTAATAAAGTATCCACTATATCCTCATCTAACACAGTAGTATTCATAGTAAAAAAAACACAGTCATATTCCATTTGATCGTATGGTTTTGCTTGGTCAACTTTGTTTGTTTTAAGAGAACTCATAATATCAAAACAAATCCTGAATTTTGCAATAGAAAGTTGACAGCGATGAACAGAATTACTAATTCGTTAGTTAGTGAAAACATAACTACATAAGTGACCTATTTGTTAAAATTAAAACATAGTGGATCGATTTGTGGGTAAGCCCAAACATAAATGACCTGAAAACAAATAACGTAGTGGGCTGAATTTTGTCCTTGAGGTATACAGACTGAAGAAGAAAGCGAGTAGCCAAAAATTATAGTGGGTTGCATTTTTCCTTCAAGGCCCAGGCTGAAGAAGAAAGCGAGTAGCCAAAAATTGTGGGCTGCATTTTCCCTTCAAGGCCCAACTGTGGAAAAAGAATTCAATAACCAAAATGAATTGTTGAGAGTGGGATTTGAACCCACGCCCTTTCGGACCAGAACCTTAATCTGGCGCCTTAGACCAACTCGGCCATTTCAACTTGATGACATTATAGTCTCGATGACCTTTTATATACTTTGAATATATATAATCTCCAAAATACTGCAGATTTGAAGTTGAGATGAAATAGTTTGATGTATAAAATAGGGTAATTTTTCATCATATAGCGTGCAACGGCCAGGAGGTTACAATATATAAGATAGGGTGAGTATGATTGTATGAGTGGTGTGGTGATGGTAGGTCGTATACTATGTGCTGACTGCTGAGGGTTGAAATAGGTTATAAGCAATAACAATTACGAGATATTGTAAGTTAAGTTAGAATTACGAATCAACTCGTTGGTTAATTACTTTGGATTTGTATGTATTTTGTTTCAACAATTACCACCTATACAATAATGTGCCATGTAATTTTACACTTTCAAAGCTTTTTACTAGACAAACATAATATTTCTCCATTCTCTTTTGTGGCCCGTAAACTTTGAATTCCTATATATGAATTCATGTAGTATAAGGATTATTAAAAAAAAAATCATCTACTTTAAGACATGGTTTTCATTTTTCATCTCATTATTACTAAAAATAAGCCATGGATTCAATCCACCCCACTACCTTTGACGAATTTGGCCACCAGACATTATTACCTTTGCTTCTTTTACAGACCCATGATCAAAAGCTAATGTGTGAAAGGAATGTAAATCGACGACCATTTGAAGAATTGAAGTTCAAATTTCACACAAAATTCCCAGTCATCATTCACAATAAGTACACTTTCCTCATACTGGTAGACCTAAGCTCTGGCTCTCAACGACAGACAATGACCAAAAACGAACTCTGTTTCATTCTGTGTTTTGTGCCTCTCGTTCATTCCTAACCACATGGAATCTGATGATCAATCAGCTTCTTCAATTCCTTTCCATGGAGTTAAATGAACAACAGATAACGGTCACCGCCCTTTGGATTGGTGTCATGTATATTCTAGTGGTTGAGGTCTTTGTTTTTCTGCTTAAATGAAAGTGGCGTTAAGGTTTCTATATGGATGCCCGGCTACCTACATCATTTGCGAGATTAGAAGAGTTATTTGTGTTTAGATATATGATGTTTCCATCATCTCATAGTTTTGTTCGGTAAAGTTCAACGATAACTAGTTAGTCATTTGTTTACTTTATTTTTTGCAAATTTTCGACAAACTTTTGTCATGTTCTCCCTTGAGGTTGTAGCTAAAAAGATTTACACTATTGTTTGTTTATAAGTCTTGATATATTGAATTTTATTTACAGAGAGGTCGATGATATCCAATACCGGAACGGGATCGCAAGAAACTGACATTGGGATTGGACCAGACAAGATTATTTTTTGTTCGATTTAATGTATCGATTTTTAGTTATGAGAAATTTCTTATCTTTCTCAAATTCTTAAAAAATAAAAGAAAGATCTTTAATGAAAATTGTAACTATCATACTCTCATAGTCTCAATTAACTTCCTCTATTCCTAAAATTTTCACACAACATCACTCAAATCATCTAACGACAATTAGTACAAATACATTGCCCCAACAAGTGTGTAATAGGATCCTCCCATAATTTCTTCCTTCACTTTTGTCTTTAGGTATAGAGTTACTTTCACCGTCTCTTTTGGTTCATCAGTTTTGTTTCCATACTAGTGTCTTTTCCCCTTGTGAGAAAAAGGATAGGGCATCGTTCCTTTGGGGCTACGTACAAAATTTGATTCTTTCTCTTCATAACTTCCATCAGAAGGGATGTGATCAGATTCAGGAGGCGTCTTTTCGGTTTGAAGAATTTGCCTACACAAACAAACACGATCGCACCAATGCGTCCTCTCTTTTTTTTTTTTTTTTTTGTGAGACCAATGCGTCCTCTCTATTTAAAAATATGTGAAATCAAACAAACAAATTGGAAAAATCAGGAATCTAGAACCTAGTTATTTGGGATATACGATGGCCATGCACGTATTCACATGTCAATTTTCTACAGTAGCTTGCTGTTAATTAACAATTTGAATTATTGGAACCGATCAATTGTTCTTTACATGATATCAGAATTTTCAATAAAGGAGAGGTCTTTTAATCTCGACGACGCCTAATAATAATTAAGCACATGATATTCAGACCTGTAGAAACTTCATTCCCATAAGTTTATTTTAATTTGAAAAGACGTTCCAATACAATTAGCCTACGTGGTAAATACGCATATATGATGTCACCTCCACCACGAGTAAAGAGGTTAAGAATACAGATATATATGTACATATCATTAAACATATTGTTAGTACATGATTTCTATAGTATATTTTTCTCATATTAATTACATAGGTAATGTCAATTTTTTATCCAAACATTTTTCATATTCTTTTATATTATCCAAACCTATCAAAATACTAAGAATTAGCCAAATGTTAACTTCCAGTTAGCAATTTTGTTAGTAATATTGACTCGGCAACATGATACTGACTTGGAAGAGACACATGAAGGTTAACATTTCAAAATTTTAGTATTTAAAATAAGAAAAGAGTTACAAAATTATTAACGATAACGTAAAAATGACTAATATTTTGATGCATTACGATTTACGAAAGATTTGGCTATTTAATAGAATTTTAACAGGTTTGGATAATATAAAAGAATCTGAAAAAAAATTAGATAAAAAATAGACATTATCCTCTAATTACGTTGATCTTCTAGTTTAAATTCGATGTTAAGCTCCTTCAAAAGGGTGAGACTCATATAAGAAATTGTTCTAACCAAACATGCACGTTGTATTCTGACATTACGTGAAAGTATTACAATTCCATCATGACGACTAACAATATATCAGACTTTTTTAGTAATTTGTTGTATCTTTTTTTTTTTATCGATTTAGGTTATTCTCAGCTGTTTTTTAATGAATTTAAAATTGTTGTATCGGTGTACATTTGCTTACAAGGTAGCTTAAAGTCTCGATTTGTATTGATCATTAATATTTAGGTAACCAGAGCGTGGAGCGGGAGCGGGAGCGGGAGCGGGAGCGGGAGCGGGAGCGAGAGCGTCAGAGCGTCGAGTTTTAAAGAATTCCATTTTGAGAGCGTGAACAGAGCGTCAATATTATATTATTAATAATTATTTTTTATAGTTATTTAAACAAAAAAATTACTAATTTTATTATGATAAAGCGTGTCCAACTGTCCATTGGAACTTTCATTCAACCATGAAGCAGGGGGGTCGATTCACTATACCACTCTTTTTTAGCATTTCTCTATTTTTCAAAGGAAGGTGGCAGGAGATGATGTTTTAAAGATATATTGAGGGCAAAATAGTCATTGAAATGCTGGTATATAATCCAATTTTAGCAACGGAAAGACTAACCCTAATCTATTTTCTCCATTTTCTAGCCGCTCTTACCCTTTTACCTCTTCTCTCTCAACTTCCAACCTTCCTCCGTCTTCGTTCCAACCTTCCAACCTCCAGAATCGATCAAAATATAAACAAAGTAAGGGCACCAAATCGCTCCAATCTCATCTCTTGCCTTCTTCATCTGCCTACCCTCGACTCTCTTCCCATCTATGCAGAACGAAAATGAGGAGAAGAAGTTCCAAAATCTGATTCTTCATTCTCGTTAACGGCGAAAGTGACGAGAGATTCGTGAATCAAGGAGGCTTTTCGATGCATGTATCTCCATCTAGCGATGAACGAGGTGGTGGTTCTTTGTTCGAGGACTCCTACACCCTCTCTGGCAGCTACCATCCTCAAATTGGTTGTTTTAATTTATTGTTTTGCTCTCATTCGGATAAAACGCGCTCTAAAAATCAGAATTCGCGCTCTGGGAAATAAAAGTTCGCGAACTTTCAACGAATTTGGGGAAAATCGCGGTTTCGGCGCTCTGGAGCGGGATCGCTAGGCCCAACCCAACGAATTGGGTGACCTAAATTAATATACGTAACATGTATTCTACGTTCCATGCATGCTTGCCAAAGGAAACCCAGCTATAAACTATAGTCCCTAGCCTAGCTAGTAACAGAAGATAGTTGATTGTAGTAAAAGTGTAAAACTAATTAACTACGGGTTCTGAGGAAAATCAGATCCCTTCATGACCACCAGCAGGACCATATGCTCTAATCACCCGCTCTTGTGAATTTTTCGAATACATACTTATGATGATAATATTAGTCTTAGTCGTTTGTGTCAAAGTCCTCGTCATATAAAAAAAGATCTAGGATAGAATGACAATAGGGCAGGTTGGGGAAGGGTCTAAGATATTCAAACCGGCTCTGTGACAGGTTAGATCCAGGTTGGTCGGATAATTTATCATGTAGCGCGGATCGAGGTAGGTTATATGTGTACGTAATTTAAAAGCAAAACATTAGGAAATTTATTTTTTCATTAAAAATCAGGAAACAAATCATAACATGATAAATATAGTTAATAATTCGAGAAATTGAAGTTTCTACTTTCAATTTCGTTTTATCCAAAATATGAGATACTAAAAGTAAAATTATAAGTATTTGAATAAAATTACATGTAATTTAGCTAAAAATGAGTCGAGATTAAGGTGGGTTATGACAGGTTAGGTCGAAGAGAATACATATTTCCACCCCTACTCAAATAAATAGGTCAAATAGTCCTACAAAATGGGTCAGATCAAAATTATCACCCCTAATAAAGAGTCACAAAAACTTTAGGGAGGAGAGGATTTGTGTAGAGTGTAGAGCTTAATTTCTTTGTTTGGGGTGGGGAGTCATTAATTGATTTGGACTGGTCACTCTCTGAAGGAATGAGAAACATTTTGTTTAAGCGGCTGGGCCACTTATCTGAAGTTTTAATCAATTGAGCTGTTGATTTGATCTCTCTCGCCACTTAGACATTGACTTTTGACTAGCAATATTGTACTTGATTGTTCAGGAGGTCCCATAATTAACTTTTGCTATATAAAAAATGGTTTAACTTGTAAAATTTGTGATCTAGTTCATTTTCATTGGGTCTTCCTCTCACTTGTTTAGTCTTTGTATGACAACCTTATTCGTCATAACTTTGGGTGAGCACTTGTGTACATGCATGAGACACTGTAGTAGATGATTTGAATGAACGTTGTAGTCCCCATTACGTGAACAGAATGTCACTTCTATATTAGTCATTCCAAACTTCACTTATCGAACGGTTAAATTAAACATGAACGTTGAGAGATCGATTTTATTTGTTACTCAAAACTTTGATGAGTATTTCTGTAATTGGCCTCATTATGGCGTGGGAATCTGTGGAATAACTCGCAACCGCTGCCTCCTTCTGTTTAGCTATTTATATGCAACAATACCAAAGCGAAGCTACCACTTCCACTGTCTTCCTCTTTCTCTCTTCTTCCCACTTCACCAAACCAGTTACAAAACAGAAAAAAATGAAGAGAAATTATTATACCCTTTCTCTGCCTTTCCTTCTCCTCTTTGCGTTCTTGATGCTGTCTTCTTCCTTCTTCTCCCACTCTGCATCGGCTCGTCTCCTCCTTGACGCAACAGCTTCATCACAGACCAAAGGGAGTAGTGATGGCGGTGAGACGGAGCTGGTGAGCATGGAAGATAATCAAAAGGCTGCTGCGGCGGCGGCGGCTGGTGATCACTTTGCTTCACTTAAAGAAGAAGATTTTTCCACGGTAAGTCGTTTAATTATTTTGCTAGCTACTACCCTTTAATTTGGATCATCGCGATCTGTCGCTCGTTCTCAGGTCGTCAGTTGAATCCAACGATGTTAGTACGCGTTTAAAACCCTGTAAGAGCCCGATTGCTTAGAGAAACTAGTTGTTATTGTTTTCCATTGATTGATTTGTGGCAGCTGATGGGGGCAGAGGAAATGGAGAAGGCGGAGGGAGTTTGTGAAGAGAAGGATGAGGACCTGAAGAGAAGGATGGTTGTAGAGGCTCACTTGGATTACATCTACACTCAACACCACAAGAACCCTTGAAAATTAATGAAGAAACATAATTAATTTTGATGGCTTCCTATTTTTTGGTTTGCTTTTTTTTGGCCCCTAATTAAACCGATGTTCATGGTTCTAACCAGTTTGCATAATACATGGAGCTTAGTATTATTATTAAAAGCTATATATAAAACATGTGTGTTCATAAATTCTTATTAATAAGAAATATGGATCTCTTACATACGCGAGAAATTGTGATACATACTTACGAGACTGTTTCGACTATATATCAATTTCCGTCATTATATCACTATCGAATTATCGAAAAAATGAAAAGCAGTAGGGAAGAGGAATTTGGACAAGGAATCAATGGGTTTGTGCACCTCGTGCAAAAGAAATTTATGTAATAGATGTATGGTGATGGTCGTCCCCATTCCCCACCACTTGTTTAAGAATTGATTCCTTTCCTTACAATATCCTCTCTTAAACTAACTTATAACCCGATTCGTTGACCGAAATGCTTGTATTTGAGTATTTATATTGTTATGTTATGTTTAACTTTATCAATCCATTTAATTTTATTGACAATCTTTCGATCGAGATGATACATAAAAAATGAATGTATAGATCGAACATTTGAAAAAATATCATCATCATTTAAGAATATAAAATATAAAAATGTATCCTTAATCCCATTTCATAATGATAACTAAGCATCATTAGAATGCTATTGGTTAATTGATTGTCATGAAAGATAGAGTATAAAAGTCTAGCTACTGGAATCCCCACACGACCCATAGATAATGGCAAACTAAAATTAAAATATCACAATCCTTCATAAATGGTTCAATGTTTTCCTTTTAGAAACAACATGTCACTAATAAAATAAGAAATGGGGATTTGTTGATTCAAGTCAACCACATACTAACAACTCAAAAAGGGGACCATCAAAACTTGAGAGCAAATGTCAAAATTAGGGTTACCTCAAATATACTAATAGACTCGATCAAAGTAATAAGGCACAAAATTAGACACTCCTTATCTACCAATTCCAGACTTACAGTAGGTTGAATAGAGAATCAACCTTAATTTCAGTAAATCAATCAATGATTACTCGTTTTAAGATAAACATAGGTTGTGGTAGCTACAACAACCATAAAGCTAAAGATTCAATAGTCACCACTCTCCGTTGTACAACCAACTTTTTATCCCATCTATATTCAATCTCAAGAGGCATTTGTTTCAACCCAAAATTCACTTTCTAATCCTCCTCCTGCAACTCTATTTCTGCTACTTTGATGGACCTCTCTATGGCCCTTGATTTCTCTTCAAATTGTGGTTCTTGTCAACTCGCTCTTCAACTCCTCAATGCTCTTCTTGTATTTGGCCAACTCTTCTTCCTTAGGGGCAGTTGTAATAAGCTCGGTAAAACCAACTCTCATTTCCAATTCCATCAATATGCTCATCTCATCATTGACTGCCTTCCCTTCCTCCAGTTCACTTCCATGCTCTTCAATATCCTCTCCATTTTCATTAATATCCTCATCATCCATCACTTCTCTCTCTTCAACTACTCCAGTTTTGCTTCCATGTCTTTCAATACCCTCCTCAATTCGATCACTACCCTCACCAACTCCCTCTTCTCTACCTTCACATGATGTAGTTGATCTTTACATGCTATCAAATCCAAACACAATTTCTTCCCCCACCACTTCCCTTCCCAAACCCAATCCCAACTCTTCTACTCCTAGTTCTACACCCTCACCTCTCAGGAAAAAATCCAAAAGTACCACTGTTTAAAAAAAAAATTCCAAAAATACCACTCAATCCCAAAAAATTCCAAAAATACCACCCTTTTTCAAAAACCGCCACCCCACCCAGCGGTTTGGTCGAAAACCGCTTGTCGGGGGCGCGGTTTTGGAACAAACCGCGGGCCTAGGGGGCGGTTATATAAAAAAAAAAAATTTGGACCAAAACCGCTGGGTGGGGTGGCGGTTTGGCCCAAAACCGCCACCCCAACCAGCGGTTTGGTCCAAAAATTCGGTCGAAACTTCAAACGAACGTAACTTTGCACTCGGGTATCCGATCGTAGCGATTCTTTTTTTCATTTCGCATAACTTTTCAAGATCTACAACTTTTACTAGGATGAAATTTTCAAAACAGGAACTATTTGTGGATATACGGGACCTTGAGAATAACTTTACCTTTACTTTTCAGAAATCCATGTACATTTTGAAATTATGATTATATTAAAAGTTGTAGATCTTGAAAAGTTATGCGGAATCAAAAAAAATTTCATAACATTCGGAGTTTGGAGCACAAAGTTATGGCCGCCCAAAGTTTGACGAAAGGCGAGACCCGGCGGTTTGCGGCTTGCAAGATCTCAAAAAGTTTGCGGCCTCCATTTTTTGAATCCGAATCACTTTTTGAGATCTTGCAAGTCTCAAACAGTCGGGTTCCGTCTTCGTCTCGAAAAAACGTCATTTGCCACCCCGAACGGCATTTTTTTTATTTCGTCAAACTTTGGGCGGCCATAACTTTGTGCTCCAAAATCCGAATGTCATGAATTTTTTTTTATTCCGCATAAATTTTCAAGATCTACAACTTTTAATATAATCATAATTTCAAAATGCACATGGATTTCTGAAAAGTGAAGGTAAAGTTATTCTCAAGGTCCCGTATATCCACAAATAGTTCCTGTTTTGAAAATTTTATCCTAGTAAAAGTTGTAGATCTTGAAAAGTTATGCGAAATGAAAAAAAAAATCGCTACGATCGGATACCCGAGTGCAAAGTTACGTTCGTTTGAAGTTTCGACCGAACTTTTGGACCAAACCGCTGGTTGGGGTGGCGGTTTTGGGCCAAACCGCCACCCCACCCAGCGGTTTTGGTCCAATTTTTTTTTTTTTTATAACCGCCCCCTAGGCCCGCGGTTTGGTCCAAAACCGCGCCCCCGACAAGCGGTTTTCGACCAAACCGCTGGGTGGGGTGGCGGTTTTTGAAAAAGGGTGGTATTTTTGGAATTTTTTGGGATTGAGTGGTATTTTTGGAATTTTTTTTTTAAACAGTGGTACTTTTGGATTTTTTCCCACCTCTCAGAGTATTATTGCGTGGATGCTCAATTTTAGCAATCATTATGGTTTGCAATTATATTGATGCACAATAAAAACATCTACAAAATCAATAATGTCTAACTAATCCTAAAACAATATCAAAATTTGATCGATGAGTTGTGCCATAAGAATCATCATTGATGAAGAAAAATATGTTGCGGAGAAAATTAGCTATGAAAAATAAAGCCTGAGCAAAAATATTGTAATTGAAAAGAAACTTTTTTAAAATGGTGATCTTATTTTGTTAATTCAATAGCTAATCAAAGAACAAACAAAAAATATAGCAAACAAACAACCAAGAAAGTATATAGGGCGCTATGAAAGTACAATTGCTCATGTTCTATAGAAACATCTATTTGATTTCAAACAAATCTAGCACTCAAACCACCGGTCATCCTATATTTTATAAATCAATTATAAACAACTTAGATAAATTGAGGAGGAAATAATAGCCTACCAGTTCAACTCAATGAACCTTTTATGAAGATAGAAAACTCATTGAAGTTGAAACCTAAGAACATAAAGAAGAGCAACGACGTAAGAGATCCACCGGACTTCAAACATCGTATTAGGCTATAGGATCAAAAGAAATAGATCTTCTGCATATTCTGCTCATGGGATAACCTGAAAATAAAAGTCGTTTTGTTATTAATCAGAAAGATAGAACCATGAGTCAAAGAGAAGAAATGAATGACTTACATATGTGAAGAGATTAACCGTGGACGAAGACAAAAACCCATTGAAGTTCAAAGTCCGGTATAGGAAGAGGAGTAAAGGAGGAAGATATAATTATCAAACATCATCTTCAGCAATAGAAGCAGCAAAATAGGTCATCTAGTAGTTCATCAATATATGAGAGATATAAAACCATCGGGCGATGTTGGTGCGGAGGGATTGAGTGAGATAGGCGAGACCCTAAACTTGATTGAACTCTATTATGAAAATCGATGTATCAAGCGCTATAAATATACTTACAGGAGACTTAGTGGGCTAGCTAATCATGATGGAAGAGTCATCTAGTCTTCAGAGTTTAACTTCGTCTATGGTTTGTATTAAAAAACTACACCAAATTTGTTTAGTGTAATTGATTATACTCGTTGTTTTTGTTTGAAAAGATCCTGGTTCAAATCCCGTTATCAATATCTTTTTATATGAATTAATAAAGAATTGTAAAGACTAAATGTCCATCCTACTTTCACTCTCGTTGCAGAAAATTTAAAATGGAGAAAAGTACACCAAACTCTACTATATATTATTGGAGGATTGTATCATTTTCCCTCGAAATGCAAGCACTATGGTATATCCACATAATGACCATAATTTGTGTGGAGTAGAGCTGAAGTTGAAAATGTCGTGATGTGTTGATAGTGATACATTACCATCACAACATACATGTACATTTATAGAGCTTAACGTTACGAGTCCATATGTATCACCAAGAACAAATGGGAAGATCAATCAAACATCAAATCCAAGAAAAGAAGATGAACATTTTCAATCTTAAGCTTAGTTTGGCCCTGCTGTACCTTTTGCAGAAGCAGCTTCTGGCTGGAGCTTTTAGATAAGTACTTTTCAAAAAAAGCAGTTTAGTGTTTGGTTGTAAAACTATTAGAAGTGCTTTTTAATATGAGCGGTTTTGTAAAATGACTATGAAGGACTTATAATATAAAATATGAATAACAATTTTAAACAATAAAAAGTAGTAAAAATGGATCTTGTTAGATTTCTTTTATATTAAATAATATGATTTTATAATTTATTTTATTTTTAAAATGATATAAATGAAGGAAAATTATATTTTCTGAAATAAAATTAAAATATGGTAAGGATAATCTTGTATTTTCAAAACAGCTTTTCGCAGAAGCTCCAAATCGGAGCTTCTGCTTTTATGTTATACAAAAGCGCTTTTCGGCTTTTCAAAAGCCGAGTTTTTAGAGGTGTTTGGCCCTGCTTTCAGCTTTTGAAGTCGAAAAGCACTTCTAAAAGCCGGGCCAAACATATACTTAGTAGGAGATCTGTTTAGTGTGGTGGTTCAAATATGGAACAAAATAATTTTGTAATCTTCGAAAAAATGTAACACCCTCTTGTTGAACATTCAGGGAGCCTTTGGTACAACGACCACACCATATGGTTGACACACATAAACATACTAGTCGATTTTATCGGAGGCTAAATTTGGACCCAAAAATTGAGCACAGTCTCCGACAATGAGCTCCATCGGCGACTAGTTATATTCAATCGGAGCTTCCTCACCAATGGTTCCATTAACATGAACTCCACTGGGAACAACACCAAAATTCGCCCATAGTGATAGCCAGAGTATTTCGACAACATGATCATTGTCAACGGAAAGGTGTGCCCACATATGTTGGTACGACGTTGGAAATACCGCTTAACGATAATCAATGCCAGCAACACTAGATTCTTCAAGCTGTTCTTCAAGAACGGGCTCAGATTAACCCATGGCAGCTGACTCGGCTTATTTCGAGAAGCGGGTGGTGGCAATCCACACCTTATTGACTCTGTTAGAGATTATCGACTTCGTGGTTAACTTCTCAACCTCAAAGGAGGACTGAATCATTCTAGCAAATGACGCACTGTATCCTTACCCATTGGGGGATCCCGTGAATGATGCAAATGACAATGGTGATAAAGTTCATCATTCATAGAGGAGAACCAGAACTCGACTCGTCATCGATTCACGAGAATCTCATCAAGTACCCTAGAAGTTATCCACTATGGTGAGGTCACGGTACATTGCTTTGTATGAGTACACCAGCACAGTAGGTGAGCCGATGCGTCTTTAGACCAACGGCAGATCGCTCGAGTGTCCGGTGACTAAGAAGACAAAAGTGGGTACCAGTAAGGTGTGGTACGTGATTAACGTGACGGAGGACAACTACCTGTTGGACCTACATTTGGAACTGCAATAGATCGAGAGCTATACCTTGATATTTTTTGCATTACAACTCTTAACATTTTATATATGGCAAATATATGTTAAGTATAATAAATTTATACTATATATAACAAATTTATTTTATATAACAATTTATGTTATATAACAATCTAAAATATAACATATCTGTCAAATGATGAGTACATATTTTCCTCAAAACATTACAATATTGTAACCATATAATGATCACAATTGTGCGAAGTAAACGGAAGATTTTATTGTGTTTCCTCATAAGGAAGATTCCTTTCATGTTCCTTAAATGTATATATTGAGATTGAGAGCAATAAACAAGTGAAAACAATCTTTAAGTGTTGGGAACTTAACGAGCCCACATGAGTAATCGTAAATCATTGTTCTGCGTGTAGCAAATGAAAATTGATTAATTTAATCGTATGCTCTTTTACATAGTTTTCTTTGATTTTAGCATGACATAAGTTGGAGCAATGATATGCTCCCACCTCGTTAGCCTGTCACTATTCTTCGAGTTGTACTTTCTTATTTGTAATTTGACCTTTAATTTTGGGGGGGGGGGGGAAGCAAATTGGTTATCATATTACAAGTTAGATTTCATTCTCTTATCATTTCTCATAACAATCTTTTTTCGTTGAATTTCTCATAACAATCTTTCATGTAGGTACATTGACATAATTTCTCATGGGGTGTGTTTGTTTCTCCATTTCTAATAAGTATGCAATAAGCTTATTATGGTAATAAATATAACATAAAACAACCTTATTAACATAATATATACATATATACATAAATAAATAAATTTTTTGTTATATAATCTTTATGCTATATATTAAAAAAAAACTGTATCTAACAATTTATGTTATATAACACATATAACTTTCTAAAATCTAATAATTTTTATGTTAGATCTGATTCTCTTATCATTTCTCATAACAATCTTTCATGTCGGTACATTGAAATAATTTCTCATGGGGTGTGTTTGTTTCTCCATTTCTAATAAGTATGCAATAAGTTTATTAAGGTAATACATATAACATAAAACAACCTTATTAACGTAATATATATTTATATAAAAATAAATAAATTTGTGTTATATAATTTTTATGTTATATATTATAAATTTATTTTATCTAACAATTTATGTTATATAACACATATAACATTCTAAAATCTAACATATTTGCGTTTTGAAAAACCTTGGATTTATGATGTATTTGGTTCATTATTGATTTGAAAAATACTATTTTTTGCTAGTTGAATTTCCTGATAAATTACATTTGTGGTATGAAACTGTGTTGGCCTCTTCAAGAAATCGTTATCGTATGGTGCCACGTTTTGTGCACAAGTAAGCTAGCCGCTTTTATCTTTGTTGTTAGTGTTTATAAAGGTCTTGCTCTTAGCAAGAATTGTTGTTTATACTTTTGCAGCGCTGCCGATATGTTCTCTTTTTCCTTACCTATATTTCATGGTAAGCATGTGTTGAATATTATTCTTGATTATGTTCTGTTGCATGTATAGTATGTTCAATACAGATTGCTAATGAACGTAGTTTTCGGAATTTTACGTTAGGGACTTCAATGTGGCAACATGAAGAAGATATAGGTTACTATGCTAGATACGTTGGTAAGATTTTGTTTATATAACTTATGTGCTTGCTTCTAACCTTTATACTTGAGCTCCCGATGCCTCAAGACGATCTTAAAACTCACTCAATACATTGATATTTTTTAAGGTTTCTCTTTCATGCTAGAAAGATCAGTGACGTCTGTGATCTTACTAGTTGGATGCATTGATATTTTGTTTATAATAACTTACTATGCTGGATACATTGATAATTCTATGCAGATATTTTCATTATGCACTGTCAGCCGCGGAAAATTAGGTGGTCCCAGGTACTCAACGATAGATGTGGGGGGAAGATCTCTTTGTCTAAGGTAACTCACTTATCATATGATCAAGCTAAACAACACTAAGCAAATTAAGATTAACTAACATCACCCACCAAATTTTTATACTGTGTACGTATAGGCCTTCTTCTTATCCAACTTTCTCTATATCCATACATGGAGAAGTGTCTTGGACCTATGATAGTGACCCGTTTTGCTGAGGGAAAACTCCATATCTCTAAAATGATTCTTCTTAATTTCACGTTTTTTTTTTCTTTTCTGGCCTACCTTTTTCTTAGTTTCACCTATTGCAGATCTTTCTATATTGAGTCTTTCGGTTGATTATATATATCTGAGACAAGCTTTGACCATCCCGTTGTTAGTAAGTTACCCATTTTTGTCAAAGTTCGAGGGTTTGACCCCTAATTTCTTTCATGTTCCTTTCTTCTTAAACTATAAATATTCTCTCGGATTCAAGCACTACAATATAACCACATAATGATCACAATTGTGTGGAGTAGTGTTGAAGCTAAAGATTTCATTATGATTGATTATAAGGAAGAATCCTTTCATGTTGCTTTTAACATATATATTGAGATTTGAGAGTAACAATTCTTGTCCCATGAGTGTAAAAGATCATGGTGTTCTTTGGATTACTTGTTTTCTCTTTGTGGTTTTGTTACTCTTAAGGAAGGTAAACATCATTTTGTTCTAGTTATAGATAGATTCACTTATCATTGAAGGATTGTTTGAGATGAATATTTTACTTATTAAGATGAGAACTATATAGGTATCAGGTTTTTATAATCGACTACAAAGAGACATATTCGAGTGGAGATGCTACTGTAGTTCTTATCAATGGATTTCATAGTTATAAGGGAGACAAGATGACCAAGTATGAAGGGTTTGGCTTACTGGTGCAAAGAACAAGACTTCATATGATGATTCATTCCATCTCACAAGCTGCACAATTCTCCTCTCCCAAAAGTGGCATAGACTGATCACTTGTCGGGTTTAAGTGGAATGAGAAACAAAAAGCCTTACTTACAAAGTGCATAGAGGAAGTAGAAGATTCAGTGCAGAGGGGAAATTGGATTCTTGTTGTGAGGAACGTTTGGATACCTCATTATTTGGTAAGAAACTCTACTAAAGAACGTTTCCTCTTCTTATGCTGTAGAAACTTTTTACCTCATCTCTTATGGATCCAGTTTACTAATTTATTGTGCTAGATCTTTAGAATACATGTAGCTTTGTGTGATTTAGCAAATTGATAGGTTGTCGAAATAGTTAGTTGGGAAAATCACAATATAAAATAAAAAAGCGAGATATTGATTTTGTATGGGGCTCATCAACGTTTCTGAATTGAGAACCATGTCAGATAATAACAAATAAAAATAATTGTGAAGATAAAAAAAAATATTCCCTCAGGCAATAGACATTCATTGAATGGTGAAAATTTTACCATGATTATGTGAATATAGCGACTCCTTGGTCAAGGTCCATCGGTTTTTTTAAGAGGAGAAGTTTGTTTGAAAAAGTACATGAAATAACGGGTTGAAAAAATTTGTTTTGCCAAAGAAAACTGTGACGATCGAGCAACGCGAGTAGAAATTAATTAATGAGTTTATGAACTATCATCTTTCTCAAATCAAGAAGCACGTAGGGATATAATGAAACAATAGGGAACCATCGTGATTTTTAATAATCTCAGTGACCAAATGTGTCATTTACCCAATCACAATAGTGTACTTTAGCAAAGCTCTATGGGAAGTTAGGCAACAGTAACCCTGCTTAAAGTTTATATATATTAACTGTTGATTTAGTGCCAAAACAAGCTTTGCATCGACAGTTAGACTCTTTTGTCGACGATTGCGAGTGATTCCAAAATTACTTGAAATTTTGTTGGGTGACTTATAAATATTTTCCTTCTTGTAATCTCTATGAGAAGAAAAAAGAACCAGATGATCAAGGATAAAGTTGTATATCAATTGATTTCACTTCTATCGTTCCGTAAAGATTCAGACCACGAACTTTTCGATGCATGAGCACAAACAAAGGCCAGTATGAGACAGTTGAAATTGAAAATATGACAGGGAAAAACTGAACTGATGGCCTAGGAAAGGCAGCGGAGAACAGCCCCTCACCACCAGAAGTGAAAGTTTAGCACGCTTCAACCAACCAACCATTCATCCATCCATCCTACCCGCCCATCATTCAATTCTCCCTCAATTTACAGTATGTATACTGTAGAGCTTCTAATGAGATCTGTCAATAATAAACAAGTAATGGACACTTATATTCTCAGGCCATAGCCAGAGGACCAAGCACAAAGTAATATGCCAATGGATTTCACTTCTGTAGTTTCAAAGAAGGCTCAGGCGATGCACATTTCGTTCCATGAGAATCGGTCATATAATTCTTGATTTCGATTCTGCATAGTGTCATAATGCTGACTTAGCAGGCGTTTCAGATGCAGCAAGCTCTTTGTACATTTCTGTTATCGCACTCTGGAAGTATGCCTTCGCTTGAGCTCTCTTTATCTGGAAAACCAACAAAAGGTGGTATTCTGTCATCATCATAAAGTTTCAATCTTTCACCGTTCTTGAGCAGTATACAGAGCTTAAAACACTCACCTTAAAAGTTGGTGTGAGCAGTCCATTCTCTAATGTAAATGGTTCTGCCACCAACGTCACAGCTTTCGCGAACTCAAACCCTCGTAGCTGCAACCATGAAGAATGGAGTGGAAATTGAATTAAGAGTTGGAAAGAAAAAAGGCTTATTGGCACCAGTTGATGGCGTTCATGTTGGAACTTCCAATTACCTGAGCTTCTCTACCAATAGCATCCATCTCCGCTAATACAGTTGCTTTTGTTCTTGGATCATTGCATATTTGCTCCAAATCGTTGTGCTGAAATTGATACCAAAGAATCAGTCTTTGCTAAATGGGAATTTGGAGGAGAAACCTATTTGAAGTCTAACCTTGAGTCCCTGAGAGGCAGCCCAATCTCTCAACACATCTGGGTCAACAGCAACAACAGCTACCAAAGAAGAGTTGAAACTATCACCATAGATGAAGCATTGAGCAACAAATCTGCACTTGGCATACACATTCTCTATCTTCTCGGGAGCAATGTACTCTCCTTGGGCTAGCTTGAAAATGTTCTTCTTTCTGTATCAATCAATACCGGTATTTGTTTATTCATTTGTTCTCAGAGTTGTCAAGCGTATCATAAAATTCGACTAAAACAAATTGCTTGCAGTTCGAGTTTCAGGTTATCACCTGTCAATGATCTTCAGACGTCCTCCTGGTAGCCATAATCCAATATCTCCAGTGTGTAGCCAACCTTCTCCATCGATCACTTCTCTCCTGAACAACATTCACCAAATTACTAATCACTAAAGAGTCAAAAGCTAGAACCAAAAGTAAAGAGGGGTTGACTTGAACGGGCAAATTTACGTTTGAGTTTCGTCTTTATAATAGCCCTGGAAGACGATGGGACCCCTCACACATATTTCGCCGCGTGGATAGGGCTGATCCTGAGAAGTGTAGTTCATTTCTGGAACATCCTCAAGCTTCACTTCTGCAAAACAGAAGAAACAAGAAAAAAAATATATTGTTTTGTATTTAAACAAGTATCACACAGATAATTAAATCGGCAGTGCTTAAACAGCTCACCACAAGCTGGATTAGGAGAGCCGACATGGCCCACTTGGTTGTCACCTAAATCCATGACAGTAATGACGCATGAAGTTTCTGTCATTCCATACCCTTCGATAACTTCTCCACCAAAGCAGCTGCAAATTCATAGACAATAATTCACAGACATCCATCGATAAAACAGAAACTGATTCCCCAATTACTACAACCAACCGAAACTTACATCTTCATGAACTCCAAGACATCAGGAGATAATGGTGAAGCTCCTGAGACAACATACCGAACTCGTCCCCCAAGTTTTTCACGGATCTTGTTGAACACCAATCTGTCCCACATTGGAGATGCATTTTTTCCTGCCATGGTAAGAGCATAATGTTAGAATCCGTGAAAAGAAACCTTCGCATGAAGCTATTGTTTGCCAATAATGTTCTTCATTCATCTACCGTTCTGTAAGGCCTGCTTTTTGGCATTGTATGCAGCATTGAATAGCCTCTCCCTTAGTCCGCCAGAACTCTTCACAGTGTTAGTAATACTGAAAAATCAAAATACTTGAGAGTCAATAAAGGCATGACGAAGTAAGCAAAAAAGTCCACTTGTAAGGAACAGTAAACATCACCCGGCATATATTCTATTGTAGAGCCGAGGGACGCTGCAGAATATAGTAGGTCTAAGTGCAGCCAGATCATCCATCAGTTTCAAGTTATCCTGCAAACATTGGTTTACAATGTAGTCACTTTACATATTCAAGTCCAGGGTCTGAATTGAGAAGCAAAATGTTCAATTCAGACACCTACCCCCTGGTAGAATCCAACAGCTACTCCGAAATACGCCGTCATGACCTGATTCGCCCGCTCGTAAATGTGTGCCAAAGGTAGATATGATATGTAACTGTTGATAAAAAGGTCCGTTCGGCGAATGAGGTAATTTATTACACAAGGGGAAACAATGGGTGCAAAAGAATGTATTGCAGGATAAAAAAAAAGTACTCACACATCTGATGGGTAGAACTTAGTGGTTAACGTGGCCCCAGCCACATTAGCAATCAGATTCTCATGGCTCAGTACAGCCCCCTTGCAAGTCATCATCAAGATTCCCAATAATTAATAAGACTTAACTGACATCTTATACATCCTTTCTAGTTGGCATGAAAACTTAAATGGATGAGAAATCTAATAATACCTTCGGTGTCCCGGTGGTGCCACTTGTGTAGCAGATTGTAGCAGTATCTTCTGGTTTTGGTGGGCAAAAAGGGTGAAGATTACTGCGACCCTAGAAGGCACCCATTACAGGAGAAAGAAGTTTTTGCTATCACAAAGCTCAATGGACCAATTTAATGCATAATAGGGTAGAAATAATGTATGCAGATTGAATCAGTGATTACACTTAGAATGAAGCTCATATTTCGAGGAGAAATAGGATAGAGAAAGATAAATTTAATACCTGGGTGAGCAGCTTTGAATAGGTTACAACCTGAACGCCAGTTGATGATGGAAGAGATGGCATTTGATCATCGATCCCCCCAACAACCTGCTCAATAGGAAAAACAAGTTCACACATTTAATGGCAAAAACCGGTCAGAGTTATCTTCTGATCCCAGCTGTATATGCAAGAAAATCTTACCACAATAACCCGAACAGATGGAATCTCTGACAGAAAGCTCAGCAACTGCAAGTTCCAAGTGATCATTAAGCATTTGTGAGCAGAAAATTTCTAGTGTGCAAAAAAAGAAAAAACGAAAAACACTCACAGAATTCAGGGTTTCAGGCACACAGAAAATGGCTTGTACAACAGCATGATTTACAATGTACTTGACAGCATCCGGACCTGACGAGAGAAAGAGAGAGAGAGTAATGAATTCATTTCACCATCCAAAAGGCTACAGCAGTCAATTTCATCATGATAAAGTTATATGTTCAAGTATAACGAACCAAGAGTGTCGTATAGTGGAACTGATACATAAGAGTATGCAGAGCAGGCATGGTCAACAATAAGCCATTCTGGTCTGTTGATAAAGTACAATCCGACACGAGCACCCTATCACAAAGATGTTGAAACAAAAGCATTACAATTTGAAAGCTAACAAAACAACACAAGGATGATGATTTTGCATTTCACCAAACACAAAATTCCACCTTCTCGATTCCATGATACATTAGGCCGGACCCTATAGCTGTTCTTGCTGTACCTGCTTCTCCAAATGTCATCCATTTGTATCTGCCGTAACCGATATAAAATCGATTAGTATTTACCGTACTAAAGATATAAGTAACAAGCTCTCACTAATATTGGATAGAGTTTGCTTACTCTCCGACAGTTCCATCGACTCGAATTCGCGTCCCAAGGTACTTGTAGTCTCGAAATGTATCGACAGCGTGCCTACAGTGTCATGAATTTGCTTCAATCGTTGTTTGTTTCATACGACTTCCATCAAGAAGTTACGCAACTAGTCTATGATGAAAACCAGTAAAAAAATGGTATTTCTTACACAAAGTTATCATGCAATGTGCCGATTTCGGGGTGATCAGGGAATCTTGATACAAGCTTCAAAGGAGACCTTGCAGATCTGCCACAAACAGAACATTAACTGGATTCAAGACTAACATACGAAGGTAGTTCACAAGTACACAAGACCATGAGTTTACCTGTAAACATTCCACTTGCCAGTCTGCAGTTTCTCTGGAAGGACTGCACTGTAACCCTGCTCTGCTCACAATGGAACCACCATTGTTTCCAATAAACGTGAAACGAGATCATCATAAGGCACAAGCACATCGCCAAGGTGATTAACAAGCAACCCAATAGTAAAAAAAAACAAAAAGGGGGAATTGATTTCTCAAAGGCAATCCATTTTTGCTATGAAAATCTTCTCTTTTTTTGTCAGTGGACAGGAGATCAACAAAACCAGTGGTACGATTCAAGCAATAAATGATTTTTGAAGGGACCCATCTGGGAATTGGATAAGAGAAAGCCCAGCAACAGCAAGTGGAAGAAAAGATGGCTCATTTTCAGCAGATTACTGGGAAGGTGGAAAACGAATGCTCCTCTCCTCAACAAACCCAGAAATGACAACCAACAATTATGCCTTAATACCTGAGAAAAACTCGCCGGCGGTGGGACTCTGAACCAGCTGCGTCGTCGACGACGTAGAATCTCCGGTGAGGTGATCGCGAATAGCCCTCATGCGACGCTGGGCAGCACTCGTCACCCCTCCTGCTTCCTCCATGTTTCCTCTCCTCTCTCTCGTCAGCAGCTCAAAGAATTAAGGCTCTGTTTGGCTCCAATCCAGGGGAGATCACTCAAAGACGGAAATTTTCTTTTCCCCCTTTCTGTTTTTCGGTGGTGGGTCAGACGGCACGCTTCTCAAGGACGACAACGACGATGAGGATGGGAAAGGGAAAGGGAAAGGGAAAGGGAAAGGGCTGTTTTCACCGTACGATTCAGTTGGGAGGATCAGAGAGATGGAAATTAATAGAACTCTGCCTCTCTCTCGCGTTGCTTGTCTTCTTCTTCTTCTTCTTCTTCTTCTTGGGTTTGATTGCCGTATCGTCGTTATCTGTAAAACGCTATTTTGGTTGGATTTGGCTGCGTGAAAACGAATTCATTGATGGAGATTAATTATCATTAGTATTGTGGCAAATGAAGGAATTGTGCTTTTCGGGAAGAGGGTGGCCATGAGAGAGAGAGAGGCAGGCTGGGAGAATTGGTAACCATGATTACTGTCGTTGGCGTGGCGCGGGTGGAATGGAGCCGACGTTGTTATCTAATAAATCTCACCCAGGACTTAAACCTACGTGTCCTTTTGATATTATGAAAAAAATTATAAAATACATTTCAGATTTTATAGTGTTTAACAAATATCTTTTGATATATCAAATTAGACAATTATTTACGGATCATTCGGAAAAAAAATTATGTAACTTAAAGTTGAAAAAACTATTTCAACACGAATGAGCGAAGGAGAGGGAGATAAGAGCAGGGGCGGCCGTTAGGGTGTGTCATAAGGCCCTCCGGTAGAGGGCCTATGAATATTAGTGGGTCTCTTTATGTTTACTAGTTAATTTAATTGTATATTGCTGATTGAACTTGTGGTGTGTGATTAATTGATTATGAATATGGTGATGAATTTAGGTATGTTAGTTATTATCCAAAAAAAAATTGCACTATATTACAATTGTTGAACAAGGCCTCCATAATTCATTGGACAAACCCTAAATAAGAGGAGTAGTCTCTCCTTTTTTTACTCTCCTTCGACGAATATCAAAAGGGTGGGAATTGCCCGATTTTAACATTTAGGTTTTGAAAGAAAAAATTGGAATATAATTCAAATTTTATTTTACAATATAATTATATGTGTGTTTTGAAATATGGTCAGGAATAAAAACACCCCTAAATAGTAAATAGTGATGGTCCCCGGGGCCGTCGACGGGGTGCTCTCGATCGTTCGACGACAAAAAGTGGTATTTTTAATTTTTATGTTATCCTTTGAGTCTTTGACTGCTCAGCTTTGTTGCTTCCCCGGCCGAAGCAGTCTCGCGTATGCAAATATGCTATTAAGATAATTGGCATATGTTGCTACGTCGTTCATTCTTAGCTATATATACTAATAATAATATGCGGTATATTCTCTCTTCATTCTTTAATTAAGTTAACCGATATCGGACTTTTTAATTCCTTTTTGGTGGACGGCAAAGTTGTTTTAGGAGGAAAACAATTTCGGCCGTTTTAGCAAATATTCTCATTTTTCGGGAACTTTAAGGTAAAAAAGAGGAAGATGGTAGTAGAATTAGCTCTTTTACTATGCACGTTTAATGCAGTTTTATTTATGTCTACATCTCCGGAATTTAAGATGGAGAAATGGTTAGATACGGATCGATTGCTTGTTAGTATTTAAAAATGAGAGTTGCCAAATTGTGGCATATCCCTTTTCTTAACTATCTGTCTCTTCCCTCATTGTGTTTCTTGCTTCTTGGCTTTGGCCTCCCTTAATGCAACAAAAAAAAAATTAAAAAAGAGAGTTTTGAGTTTTGAAAACTTCTGAATTTATGATAAATTTGTTTCATTATGGATTTGCATTGTATGTTTAGTTCAGTTTTTAGAATGAATTTAAAATGTTTTATTTTGTACATGAAGTCTAAAAATTTTGCGTTCCAAAATCTCAAATGAAATGTAGGATTTGCAAATAAATTTTTTTTTATGACAAGGAGACCCGAGGGCCAAAGAAGAAGAAAATTACAGGGGGGTAGGGGTGATCTGGGGGGAGGGGATGATGCGCCTAGTGAAAGTCACACCTCTAGCATCATCAGAGATAAGCGGGATAGTTCCATGAATTTATACTCCTCAATGAACAATAAATTTATGCCAAGTTCATAATTCTTGAGATTTGAGTACCAAATCCACCATTCAAATTTCACAAGTAAAATATATCCAAATTAAATTAGAGGATAATCAATCCGTACAAAAAAGGGAGTCCAATGAATGAATCCTTGTTTTGTTTTTCATTTACTATGCAAGCAAGGTGGGAATAAATGGGATGCAGTAATGCAAATCATCGGACGGGCATTAAAGATTAATAAAAGAAAGAGAAACAATCATGAGAAAGATTTGCGACCCGAAATCCAGCGCATGTATACGGTATTTTAGTGAGCTGGTGGGGAATCGGATTAGGACACAAACTCTTTGCTTAACCTTTTTTGGAAAATAAAGAAACAAAATGTGAAGATGTGATCTCAAATGCACTCGATCTGGATTCTTGACCAACGAATCATATCCGTGTTTTTGTGTCTAGATATGGGAACGTTTTCATGCTATTAATTACTTTTACACTCAATGACATGGTTTTCCCCTCAAATAATGTCAAAACAAGGTAGGGACAGAATTCATGAATTTGAAGTAAACTCAAATACCACCTTGTTTCTTGATTTCATAGACCTCACAATCGGGTTGGGTTGGGTAATTTCAGGTTGGGAATCTCGGGTTACGGGTCTTTATGGTTCGGGTCATGATGGGTTTATTGATTTTGGGTCAAATATTGACCCAATCCATCGGGTTTCGGGTCGGGTTTCGAGTCATTTCGAGTCATGAGCGTTCTCAGAATCAATATCAAACATGCTTCATAAATTTTTTAAAAACACAAATTTTTATATATGTGTGACAATAGCTTGCCTAGCACATGCCAATTAACAATTGCTCAACTCCTTCCATGCTAATGAAAAGAAATACAAATTGCACAAATTATCAAAAAACAATGACGAAAGTAATACTATTACAATAAACAAATGATTTTTGATTATCTTTACACTCCAAACTTGTCTTTCAAAGCCTAATAATTTTGTTTGTAAACATCTCACCAAAGTATGAGTGATTTTATCATTTTGAGAGTGACATATTCAATGAAAAGGGTCTAGCGGGTCGACCCAAAAACTACGGGTTAATTGGATTCGGGTCATTCGGGTTATAAAAACCTCATCCATGGTAGATAGATGCAAAGAATAATATAGCATCGAGAGCACAACTATAAAAAACTTATATAAGCTTTCAAGAATGTAGCCAGAAAATAACAACCATCACCAACTCCACAACTATGCACTGATGTTGCAGAATGTTTAATCAAAATGCTTGAGATCACAAGAACTCGAGACTTCCCTGAAATTCGATCAGGCACAATAAAATGCGAGAATATCCAACACATGTCGTTCATCGCACTTCTAACCCAACCGAAAGCAAGCTCACTTTCACAAAATCAAGTTGCAACCACAACTCAAAGTGAGCTTCAAGCAATCCATTACGTAAACAAGCAAAAGATGAGGCAATCACTTTGAGAAGTCTGCATAACCTGCAGTTCAAAAGCTTTCACACTCTAGTCGATTAAGTTCCGACAAAATCCGTTCCATTCTCTGAAACCTAGATACTTGTGAGTGAAACTGCAGTGCCCAGATTTACCTCACTCATTCTTTTCTGGAAATATAAGTGACAGAAAATGGCCAGCACAACAAAGTAACAACTCCACCTTGGAAGATCTATATGACAATGCCGACGATCTTCAGGACCCTGGTATACAGTATATGCATATACTTATTGTTGCAGCTCTGCCAACATGACCTAGTCTATGCAATCACACCATGCTAGAATTCGAATAAGTCATCACTCACCATGGTCGACTTTCGAAGAGGTCGACAGAGCTAGAGTGATTTTCAGGAATCAAACCCACAAAAAGATAATCATTTCACACAAAACTGTCCAAAACCAATTCAATCCTTCGGTCAATCACCATTGCATTTACTTCAACAAACCGCAAGACTTTCAGGCTTTTCTACAAGCATTGCCCGTTGCACAAGTAGTACTGAACTCCGATCCCACAATAAGCCCCATTCTAATATATGTCTGGCTGCTAAACATCGGATCCTAATATATAAACGACAGATGCTACTCTAGCATCTTGCCATGAGATTAAAGGGATTCAAATCTTTTTTACCGTGTAAACTGAAGGGGCAAACCCAAGCAAACAGGGAGCCAGAGGATTGGCTCCCTTATCTTTTAAACAGCAGCGTGGTCTTTCTGAGAGAGATTGCTTCCATCGAGAAAGCCTAACGCGTATATGGGAACTCACCCAAGCCAGTATACCCACAGAATATATGGTCTTGCCCTCAGATGAAAAATAATGGTAGCAACTCTGCTGCGATTCTAAAAGAGCTCCATCAGTTGTTGTGCCACATCTGCATCAAATGATCAAATGTTCAGTTATAGGTGCGCTGAACAACATAGAGTCCTCAAAGACGGGTCAATATATAAACATTAAATTTTGAGCATGGAACAAGACCTTGAAGAACGGTGGGTGGTGTATGAAACTCCTGCCAGACGTTCTGATAAGAAGGGAGATCCATGTTTAGAAACTTGGCAGCAAGGTAAGCAGCACCACCAGCAATCTGATGTGGCTTGAACTGAAGCCACAATGAGCTCTTAAGCCTGCAAGAAAAAGAAGCAAAGATAACTCTTATTAGCTTTACCAAGCTCCTAAACTAGCATTGTTCACGATAGTTCCTTTCTTCACAAGCTATAACTCACTTTGTGCATTTTTTAGCAACTTCCATATCAGCGAACAGAAACAGTTGGCATAAAAATCACACATTGCATGCTGACAATGAATTTTGGGGAACAGTATAATGCAAGTCAATTCTTCTTACCAAACAGAAAAGCAGCAATCCTGGCAGTAGAATTATTTGCAAAGAATCTCTGTAAGGTGTTGATAGGATAGCATAACTATAGGACATATGTTCTACTCAACTAGAAACACATGCACTCCAGGGGGCCAATTCTGCTGCAGTGGCTTTTTTAACTCCGGATACATTCATGATTTGATTAAGGAGAGAACCAATACACTACGAGCCTATTGCACACAGTAAGCTTCTTAGAGGCAATATCCACATCTGTCTCCTCAACAACTTGATCTCGAATGTGAAAGGTTCATGCACTATACCACCATGCCAGTAATCCACCAGAACAAAAGAAGGGGCAGTATACAATTGATATTGCACCTTGTTGCATTAATTAGTCATTTATAAAACATATTGAATCTGTAAGCTTAACATACGAGAAAATAGCAGTATTAGTACATAGAAATATTTGTTATATATTCTTTTTACTAAAATCCTGATGCAAGTAAAGCAAATTGACACATCCTCAAATAGTATCAAATACTATCAATATTCTTGCAGCTGATTGATATCAAGACATAATTGGCTAATGAGCACCTACAGGCAAATATACAGACCTAAACCACAATGACTGTACTATGCCAGTGTTTTGACAACTTAGGTAGCCCATTGTCAACCGAAACTAGTATCAGGTCTCTGACCTGAGAGCACCTAGCCCAATGGGCTAACTTCTGGGGCAGATGTCTAGATACTTACATCCCAAATGAAAACCACAATGACATCTATATCGCAAACTTGGGTAGGACAGCAGTTCGCTCTCTGACAACAGAAGAGAGAATCCTATACTTTCTTGGGATGTACGAAAAAAAAGGTCAGTTAAAACCCATATTACAAAGCATGCTAATGCAGCTTACTGATGGCTCAGCTTTGGGTTCTAACCAGGAAAGATTATATGCATCTTTCCAAACAACAAGCCGCCCGGTTGAGTTCCTAGACCATTTAACAATATCTGAATTCAAACACTTATAGCAGGATGACCCCTTTTTTAAACTTCAGAATACCAAAAAGGGCAACGTACCTTCAAATGATGAAATGGTCTTGTTTTAATATATATTATTAATCTGAACTTACTTGAAAATCAAAGAAAAAAAATACTAATAGAGATTTGAAAACTCAAAACATTGGATAAAAATTTGAAAATACTCACAACATCTGATAAATATTTTAAAAATACTCTTAAGGTAAATGGGTGGAAACCAGGAAAAGGAATAGTTGAGTAGAAAATATTGAAGAAATGAAAACTGGAAGTGTTGAACGAAGAAGTGCACCACTCATTCAGGTCCCACTTCCCTACAAAAATTGGGTGTCCCAAAAACAGTGGGAATGAATAGTTGGACTGCCACCTTGTCTCTTAACTTAAAACTTTCAGCAACTGGAAGGGAGGCAGGTGACAGTCGAGTAAAACGGTCAGAAGGTTCTGAGGCTATCTTTGATAGCACATAGCCAAATTGATGGGAGGATAATCACAGTAATGTGATCCACAACACAACGGCAGGTCAACTTCAGATGCCAAAAAACAAAAAACTTTCCAAGCACAGCATATCAATCCGCCAGCTAACAATATCACACAGTCGACCATGCTACTCTTGTGTGGACCCTGCAATTATATGCCATTCCAAAATATATCAATATTGGATACCAGAATGACTAGGAAAAGTAGTTGTTGCTTGAAAGAGTTAAAAAGATCCTTGACTGCTGTCTTAGAATGCAGAAGAGAAAACCGATATAGTCGTCTCCATGACAAATGAACCATGAAAGCTCAACAATTCATCAGTTGATTTTTCATTGCTTACCTGCTTTACTAAATACATGGACAGACCATCAGCTGCATGACAACTTCCTATGCACTAGATCATGTCTCCTGCAGAACTAGTCTGAGATCGTCCACAAACAACAAAGACAAGGAATAGGCACACCAAATTCCCTCCAGAAGGGGCACGACCACATTGTATGAAAGTTCACTCAACAAGTGTAAGCTCATTGTATTCACCAAAATTAGCCGTTATAACAAGAAACCTGCTGAAATTTCTAGCCTTGTAGTGAACAAGGAACAACTTACCCTTCATTAACCAAGTTCAAGGCCACATTGACCAAAAGAGTCTGTGCCAGGCCTAACTTGTCAAGGACAGAAGTGAGTGGAGCATAAGGATGCTGCACATTTAGTTCAAAATTGAGGGTAGTCAATATCATTTGCTCAGCATCCATCACTCGCTCCCGGTACTGTTCAAACCAGTCCTGCAGACAAGAAACTCAATTGTGAGTTCACCCATTCAATTATGGATAACTAGAAATTGATTCTCCTGTATATTATCTGACACAAACCGAAAGTTCAAACAATGTATGTATATTTACCAAGATAGTAAGATACATAAGTAAAAAGTTCAGTACAATACTCACAATGGGCAGTACATATGACAATAGACTGATGTTCTGCTTATGCAAAATCTCACAGGATGACCTCAATACATCATTCAACGGTCGTGCCGTCTCCTCAGACTTTGCAGCAAGAAAAAGGGCAGCAGTAGCAATTAACTGCAGAAACGGAATGAATATCTCCATAATGTTTAATGAATGAGTTGATGCCACAAGAGGCGAGACAAAATTACAGAAGTCTAATGACATGGCGAAAATGGGAATGGAAGAAGAATAACCCTAGTGGCAAACTGACTATTAATAAACCTACCAAGGACTTTCTGCATACTTTTTCAACTTGGAAAGAAATATTCAGAAATGACTGAAACAGCCAAGAGTCGGAACAACTAATACCTATTAGAAATTAAATTTAAGATAAAAACACTTGCATTGTTAGATTGTTAACAACTTACAAATCTATCATGGCAAGCATGTGACCGGCGAATAAAAAAACGGTGACACAACACCATGGCGGTCCCAGTAGTTGTTTGTGGCCTGCAGTAATAAAAGCCACAATCAGTTACAAGACTCTCAGACAGTTGGAACTTATAAGTCCAAAAGTGAAACCACCAAAACAAAACTACTCACAGATCAAGTCGAAGGCCAAGGTCCTGAAGGAAGGCGCAATAAGAGTAGCGCAAATGCGCTTCATGTTGAGCATCAATGCCATCTTTCCTTGAAGGAGAGCACCGTTCAATCTCATCCCTTGACAAAAAGAGTGGTTCCTCTTCTTCTAATTTCGAGCGGTCACGTTTACAGCTAGTAGATGTAGATGCTTCGGTGTTTGTCCTCAAAGGAGCAGGGAGTGGATTGCTTTGAGTCAAAGGTGCAGAAGCTTGATACACGCTATTAGACCTTGGTAGGCATCTTCCACCATCTCTGTACATCTTAGGTTGCACATACTGCCTCTGATGATCTCCGTGTGTGTTATTAAACTGCACTTGATACCTAGCAGCATCTCCATATGATTTTGAGTGCTGATAATCTCTGCCACCGTCCTCAAATGTGTTGAGCTGCAGATAATTATGTCCATCACCCTCTCCCCACATACTAGAGCTGAACTTTCTCCTTTTCAGAGACGGTGCACCACTAGGAGGAGGGTTATTGTACTTGCCACTGTCAGCAATATGGCTCCTCAGTTTCCCAGAGAAATCATAGAAATCCTGACAGCTCCGCCGATAATCATGATTATCATTCCAACCAGCGCTCAAGTACGCGCTCCAATCATAACTTCCCCTACTAAAAGTGGTTGAACGATCATCGAACATTGTTCCGCCTTGTGAACGGTAGTTCCTCGCAAAAGACATGGTACCTGACAAACTTTTTTTCCCACAAGCAGAAGCAAAAACAGTAAGAAAATGAACAAAAATAAAACAAGCAAACCAGAACCTAACATCTCACAGCAAGGCCAAGTTTGTATCACCAAATCAAACGCTCAGATAACAATTAAACACTGTGCTTACCTATCAGCATCACATTACAGCTTAAAATCGAGCTAAAATTCATTCAGATTCTGATGAAAATACCAACTACAACCAAACTCGTCGACGGACCAAATAGATAAGAAGCAGTTAAGAGAAACGGAGAAGGTTAAGCTTGCCATGATCGGATATCACGCGATCAACTAGAACTAATCAAAACAGAACCAGAAACCTCCTAAACAAAAAAAAAAAAAAAGCAATAAACCAGGCGGCCAACCAACAACTCGGATCATGGAATTTCAGGCGAAATTCTCCACGAAATCAAGCTTAAATCGAAATCGAAGGCAAAACTCTCCACGCAGCATCTTCAGATTGGATTAAAGACCAAATTATCAGGGGAAATAAGTTCGGTTCGAACAAACCGATTGATCGCAGGAACGAAAGAAAAGCGAAGCGGACGATGAAGGAAGCTGAGAAATTACCTGAATCGAAGCGGCGATTGCTAGATCGCAAGAAGCAGAAGAGCGAGCAGCAGGCAATTGAGATTGAATTGGGAGAGATTGGGAATTGAGATTACGGTTCTGGAAGACAGAAAGAGAAAAGAAAAGGGAGGGGGGTTTTGAAGGAAGGGGTCAAAAAAGTGGGAAAGAGAAAGGATGGGGGGCAGCAAAAAAATGCGAGCTTCCTGTTAAACTCTCATTGGGCTTTCGTTATTGTTGGCGTGAGTGCGGTGTGGTTTAGGCCTCTTTTTATACCTAATCAGGAAATGAAAACAACCAAAAAAAAAATGACAAGGAAATTTTAAATTTTGTTACACATATAGAGGTACGCATAATAAATCATTATGAAATCGTTTCAAATTTTTATTTTATTTGATGACTCTTACTAAACACGTATAAAATCGTATAACACATTTTTAATATTTGTATCTAATGAATTAAATTGATTATTTGAGCATTACTTATACATTAAATTATTTTCAACATAATTAATCTTGTATATTTTATGACTGTTAACTTACTATTAGACATAATATTAATTAGTAGACCAAGTAAAATACTCATAGGTAAATTACCGTACCATATTTTACTATTAATTAATTATAAAAGAAGAAGAAGAAGAAAAGAATTTATCTATTCTCATGCTGGTTTGGTTTACAAAACTTGTAGCTTTGAGCTTGTTGGTAGTTACGCCATTTGGCGAAGTTGAGGTGGACAAGATAGATGGATATACGGGGGAGGGATAAATAAATATCAGGGAAAAACAGTATTGTGCCGGCAATGCATCCTTTGTTTTCCTCACCCCAATGTAGGGTGAACAAACACACCCGGAAATCGACCCACCCGTATTTATCGCTAAAATGAAGGTTTTGGGTTGGGTGATGATTTTCTTTTGTACAACCCGCCTCTTTTGGGTTGGGTTTGGATTTTGGATTACACAACCCGTAGAACCCGACCCAACCCGTGTTCCAACTATTAGTATGAGTTCGAATCTAAAAAATATTTATGTACTATATAGTCATATACTTATGAGAAAATTAAGATATTTCACCATGTTTTTCTCTCATGGTCTCCCTAATCTAATGCATTCTTCGACTTAAAGTTTAGACATAAATTGAATATAGTTATGATTCACGTAATCCAATTTTAATAGAATAACATATGATGGATGTGTTTGTTTATAACATTTTTAGCCTATTTCAACAAATATCGTGAAAAAACAAGACATATGTTGAAGTAAATTATATTTTTTATTAAAATTTAAACAACATTTGTGAATTTTCATACATTTCACTTTGGTTCATTCGTTTGAAATTTTAATTAGTTATAAAATATTTTTATGATGTAGAATAATTATATATTTTATGTTGGGTTGGGTTTTTACTTAAAAATATCGCCAACCCGACCCAACCCAATTAGAAACAAACCGTAGGGTTTAAATATTTTTGGGTGGGTTTGGGTTTGATATTTCCCAAACCGTAGTGCATGGATCGGGTGATTAAAATGACTAAACCCGAACCACCCGACCCATGTACACGCCTACCCCAATCCACATCACATCCACTAACGGTGCTCCATTTTACTTCTAAAGCTTGGTAATAGTAAGTAGGGATGGCAATTTATCGAGTTGGGTTGAGTATTCTCAAATTTGTATTTTGTTCATCTAGTACGTAAAAATTAAAATAACCGAATTATAATTGTCAAAAATCAGTCGGATACTTGAAGAGCATACTCATTTTATAGGGAGGTCATTTGGATGGGATTGTGGTAGTTTAAGAACTCAAAAGTCAAAACCTTTTTGTTACGAAATTCAACTTTCATCAACAATATAATATGTGTATATAAATAATACTATATAGATCACAAAACATTAAGAGTTCTCAACTTTATAATCATTCTACTATATATGTATAATAATATAAAAACATCTAGCCATAATAAGAAGATATTTAAACACGACAATTTTGTTTTATTAAGATGAAATTTCTTTGTTCAAATGCTCATTTATGACTAGATTGTACCCGTCCGTTGGCCGGTTGTAATATGATCAATGATAGTAGATAACAAATTTTCTAAGTTTAAATTCTAGTGATATTCTCTTCTTTTATATTCGTGTCATGATTATATGTTAATATCATGCGAATTTTAAAAAATTTCTATCAATTTTAAAAATACCAATATAGTTTCTTAGTGTTGGCCATTAAAAAAGACAAATTATTCAATTGTTGAGAAAATAGAAGATGAGCATCCATCATACATATTATAACATTGTAATCATTGTCTTCTATATATGCATATTGTGGTTGAAGTTAAAACAATAGGACTTATGGAAGGGAATATCAACTCATAATAAACTAGATTGTGGTTGAAGTTAAAACAATAGGACTCATGGAAGGGAATATCAACTCATAATAAACTTAATGACACAGTATTATAGGTATTCCAAAATGACCGGTAACATTTCATCGCCATCAAGAATCTTCATTGTTAACTCCACTGTCTTCATCATCAATAGACGCTTCTTTTTTAATAGTTTATGCGAAGCAAATTTAAAGACTAAACTTAACCATATATGAAAAATAATTTTCACAACAAAAGAATTCACCTCATTCTAGTCACAACTGTTGTTGGAGATCATTGATTATCTTCGAAAATCTTAATTTTGTTGGGATTGGTGGTGTTCTAACCAACACAGTCAAAACGTGATTCTAGGTAGAAGCATTTTGGTGACTTAGAATGGTAAAAACATAAACTTTTAACCTTGAAAACGCGATTTTGACTACATTATTTCACAAAATGTATCAAAACAAAGTGTTTCTATGTATATTCGTTTTGATAACCTAAAAGCGTAAGGTTTTAAGATTTATAATGCTATTTTGACTATATTTTTTTGTAACCACTAAACTTTATGTGAAACTTCAACACGATCCATTTTTTGTAAATATTCCATTTCTTCATTTAATAAGATATAAGGGAGAGGATGTATTATTCTTCCACTATTTTTAATTAGCTATTCAGCATTAACTCTTAAAATCCAACCTTGGAGACAACAAACTCATGTTAAAAAAAACTACAACAATCTCATGTATAATTTGGTTGAATCCACAACTAAAGTAGGGTCCTAAATATTAAAAATGTTGATAATTGAGATTTATTATTTAGAAAGCAATATAAGCTTTATTGAGGATGATTCCTAAACTGATTAAGTTTCACGAAAAGATGTGATCATCACCTAACCGTTAGAGTGTTCCATGTTGGCTAAAATCTCATTTTTATCATAGAAATAATCAAAATAAAATAATTTAAGATGCATTTTTTAATTTTAACATATAAGAAAGATTTTTAATGCTGTAAGAATTTTACATTGAGTGAAATTCAATCTTTTCGGGAATATCAAGATTAGGTTGCACCAATATAGCTTTAATTTAAGAGAATAAATTTTCACCCACAAAGTTGGCTAATCACAAATAGATGAACATTAACATCTTAAATTCTAAACTAATAAGTAAGCAATGTTACATAACTTAATGTTCAGAGACAAAAGGGAATGAAATGACCAAGATGAACAAATTAGTTTTTATCATAAAATAATCAAAATAAAATAGTTTAGGAATTTGCTACGGTGACATGCATGTCATGGTGACATGCACTTTTCGGTCGACCTCATATAGGATCAGGTCGACCTAATCTGTTGTTTCAGTGTAAAAACAGTTTCATGGTGCCTACTTTGGAGATTCATATCTTACAATTGGCTAGATGGAAATTGGAGATTAAAGGCTTGTTTTGAAGCTGAAGTGTCCCTCTACACATTAAAGTACTTGGGAGCTCAATAGAAAGTCCAGAAGACCATTTTTAACCTGACCAAAAGGCTATGCCAAAATTGGAAAATTGCCTGAAAATGGCTAAGTCTGGCAACGTGTTTGTCAAGCCTACTTTGGAGCTCAATTTGAGAAGCATGGATGCGAGTCAAGTCCAGGGGCCTCTACCACGTTAAATTGCGTATTTTTTTTATACAAAGGCAAGGCATTGGATGAAAGATTGAATATCTTTAAGGCTTCAAACAAAAGGCTAGAAGTTGCTACGAAGGCTGTTTTTCTGGCAGCTTGCTTGTGCTCGAAGTCTGCCAGAAAAACAGCCTTCGTAGCAAATTCGACCCTTTTGTTTGAAGCCTTAAAGATATCCAATCTTTCATCCAATGCCTTGAATTTGTATAAAAACATACCTAATTTAACGTGGTAGAGGCTCCTGGACTCGACTCGCATTCATGCTTCTCGAATTGAGCTCCAAAATAGGCTTCACAAACACGTTTCCAGACTTAACCATTTCCAGGCAGTTTCCCAGTTTTGGCATTGCCTTTTGATGAGGTTCAAAAATGGTCTTCTAGACTTCCTATCGAGCTCTCAATCACTTCAATATGTAGAGAGACACTCCAACTTCAAAACAAGTCATTAATCTCCAATTTCCATCTAGCCAATTGTGTGATATGAATATCCAAAGTAGGCACCATGAACTGTTTTTACACTGAAACAACAGCTTAGGTCGACCTGATCCTATATGAGGTCGACCGAATCCTAAATGAGGTCGACCAGATCCTATATGAGGTCGACCGAATTCTAAATGAGGTAGACCTAATCCTAACTGAGGTCGACCGGAAAGTGCAAGTCACTGTGACATGCATGTCACCGTAGGCACACCCAATAGTTTAAGATGAATTTTTAAATTTCAACAAAATAATAAAGCTTTCTTTAATGTTGTAAGAGTGGTACATTGAGTGAAATTTAATCGCTTCAAGAATATCAATATTAGGTATCACTAATGTAGCCTCAATTTAAGAGAAAAACTTTTCACCCGTAAAGTTGAACAGTGACCAATAGATGAACATTAACATCTTAAGTACTACACCAATAAAGTAAGAAATGTTTACATATCTTAATGTTCAGAAGTAAAAAGGAATGAAATGTTCAAGATGAACATATCATTAATAGCCTTAGCAAAAACCTTATTGATTTTATCAACCGTCCTGCTTCATAAATTTATCTTCACAACACATCTCTTGCACCCAAAGTGAAACTTAAAATTGTGATAAAACATGCATATTAAAAATAAAAATTAAACTTCTAAGCTCGTATTCCCACATCTCTTGCACCCAAAGTGAAACTTAGAGTTCTGATAAAACATTCAATTTAAAAATAAAAAGAATTATACTTATAAGTGGGTATTCCCACTGGTTAGACATCGATAGA